GAGGGCAGGGGCGTCTGGGGTGTCCTGGGGGGGTGGGGGGGTCCAGTTTAGGGGTGGGGGTTGGGGGTGGGGGTTCCGGGTAGTAAGAATATAAGAATCGGAATCTGTGTGTGTGTGTGTGTGTGTGTGTGTGTGTGTGTGTGTGTTTGTTCGTTGCGATGTGAGTTGGTCTACTTGCTGGGCTGCGGCGAAGGGCTGGCACGTCAAATGAGAAATTAGCTTGCCAGCAGGGGCCCCCTTAGCAGTTTCTTACCCCCCGAAGGCCCCAGGGACCCACAGAAGCGCTGGGGCACCTTGGGGCCCACAGAGATCGACGAACATGTGCTCGAAGAAGAGGTCGACGAACATGTGCTCGAAGATCCCTTGTGGCAGGATTGCGTTCCGCGCCTGTCTGTTGCAATCCGGCCTGAGCTCACTTGCATCGGCTTCGTAGCGAACCTTCCGAGAATCCCGGCTGCTTCGTGGCACGGAGTCTGCTCTGATGGTGTGCTCAACGTCTTGACGTGGTGGATCCATCAGGAGGGGAAACACACACACAGACACAAGCAACCTTCAAATCCCCAGACAGTATGGGAAAATATGGGACGTGGTGGGGAAGACGAAACCCCAGAAAATATGGGAAGATATGGGGACTCCGGTCAGTCGTGCCTATTTCTCTGTATGTCCCAGGGCCCATGGGTTCTGAGACCGAGTCTCACGGAGGAGAGCGAGGAATGCCGGAAAAGTGTGCCCTCCAGGAGGGCCGGAAAAGAGTGTGAGGCGGCCGCCCGAGGAGGAGGGAGGCGGGGGGTGCGCGCCTCAGGCGCGCGCAGAGGCAGCGCCTCGCGCGCGGGGGCAGCGGCGGGCGGGCTCCGCGGGGGCGTTGTTCGGGGGCCCACGCGAGCAGAACCGCTGGGCTGAAGGAGCCGCGCCCCTCGCGCCGCCCCCGCCCCATGGCCGGCCTCGACCCCCCCCACCCCAGCCCCAGCGGGGATGACCCGCGCGCGGCATTCGAAAACGGGCACCGCGCCCAGGTCATCACCGCTGGGGGGTCGGGTCGGTCCCTGGGAGTGATGGGCCTGTTTTCCCCCACCACTACCACCATTATCTGGAGGGGGGGAAGGAGACGGAGGATGAAGAGGCAGAGGAGGAGGAGGAGGAGGAGGAGGACGAGGAGGACGAGGAGGAAGAGGAGGAGGACGAGGAGGAGGAGGAGGACTCCCTCCCCCTTCTACTTATGGTGGTGGCGGTGGAAAACAAGCCCACCAGGGAGGGCGCCAGGAGCGGCTTCCTCGGCCCTGCCGTTGTGGCTGCTTCGCTTCGCTCCTGGATTCGGTGTAGAATGCGGCCGGCACGTTCCGTTCCGATGCGATTCACACAATTCCGACGGCCCGATGCAGCCCGGTGTTGTTGTTGTTGTTGTTGTTGTTGTTGTTGCTGTTGCTGTTGCTGTTGCTGTTGCTGTTGCTGTTGTTGTTGTTGTTGTTGTTGTTGTTGTTGTTGTTGTTGTTGTTGTTGTTGTTGGAGGAGCAGGAGGAGGAGGAGGAGGAGGAGGAGGAGGAGGAGGAGGAGGAGGAGGACGAGGGGAGGAGGACGAGAGGAGGAGGAGGAGAGGAGGAGGAGGAGGAGGAGGAGGAGGAGGAGGACGAGGAGGACGAGGAGGACGAGGAGGAGGAGGAGGACGAGGAGGATGAGGAGGAGGTGAATGAGGAGGAGGAGGAGGAGGACGAGGAGGAGGGAGGAAGGGAGGAGGACGAGGACGAGGACGAGGAGGACGAGGAGGACGAGGAGGACGAGGAGGACGAGGAGGACGAGGAGGAGGACGAGGAGGACGAGGAGGACGAGGAGGAGGAGGAGGAGGACGAGGAGGACGAGGAGGCCGAGGAGGGCGAGGAGGACGAGGAGGACGAGGAGGAGGACGAGGAGGAGGACGAGGAGGAGGAGGAGGAGGAGGACGAGGAGGAGGACAAGGACAAGGACATCCGCATAAAGGGGGTGCAACGTCCGAGCACCTACTGAGGTTACCTACGCTCTGCTGTCAAAATCCCCTGCGATTTGTTGTGCTACAGCCCTGCCTTCTCACTAGGGCCAGTAGGTGGCATACAACGTAGCTCAAGGACCGGGCTCCGAGGTGGCCCCGTAAGAGAGGCTCGCTACCTTACATCACGAGTCCCTTCGGGTCAGTGCGGGGGGGGGGGGGCTGATGCTGGTCCTTCCGCGTGCCCTAGGGAGGGTACGCGGGGGCTTAGCAGGGCGCACAAGCCAGGGGGGGAGGAGACGACGACACGACCTCAAAAGGAGGAGATAAGGGGGAGAGACGGAAGGCCCGAGACCCCAAATTGTTGCTGGGGGGGCTGCTTATTCTACAGCAGTTTGAATTCCGTGTTCCCCTCTCCCGCTTGGCTCATTTCTCGGTCGTTCCGGGAGATGTCCCATGTATTGTCACATCTGTATTCTGGTACACTGTTGAAGTAACCCATCGTTTACCCTCAAAGTGTATGTGAGCCAGAGCATACTGTAAGTCACGGAAAAGGGTAGGTCCAATGGGGAACACATTGGTGGGTTTCCTGACGATCACTGTCTTCCCCTTCGACACCCTGCAGTAGTGTGCCTGACGGTATTCTAAAACAGACTTCCCATTTCGATGGCGATGCAGGCGCTCTGTAGTGCCAATGTGAGTTGTCATGAGCTGCACTCCGAGAAACCTCGCGAATGCTCCTCCTGACTGTCTGCTGGCACGGCCAGCTCGCAGCTTGCCTAGAGTAGCACTCCGAGAAACCTCGCTAATGCTTCCTCCTGGCGAATCAGCAGGCAATAGTGGGTGAGCTCACTGGTGGCCGCTGGATGCGCTGGCCGTAGTCGTCTCCTCCGAATTGGGGTAGCCGAGCCTGTCCGCGAAGATCTCGGTGCTATCCAGCATGGTCTGGGTGCTGTCTCGTAGCTTCTGGCGCTCCTTCAGCCTCTTCACTTCCTCTGGGTCCATGTTGTCCTCGTTGTTCAGCTCCTGAGTGGCAACCTTCATTACTTTGTGGAGGTTCTCTTCGTCGTCCTTCGCAATTTTCAGCGCCAGCCCACACCAGCTCTGCACAGTGAAGGCCCTCCTCCCTGACCTCTCAGGATCTTGTGGGCCATCGGGAAGGATGTTTGGATCAGCTCGAATAGTCTCTCTGGGCTCATCTTCTGGGCCGCGTCGAAGAACTGGTAGTGGCACTCCTTGATGGCGTCGACAGGTTGCTGCGGAAGCCTTTCCGCAATGAACCCTTGCCATGTGGCTCCCACGTTGAGCTCCACCACCATCGAAGGCCAACTCTTGAACGGGAGGAACTTGGACCCGCACCCGATCTTTGGCCATCCCTCGCTGTCTGCCCCAAACGTTTTCTGGGTGACTTTCCTGCGCCTTCACAAGCTGCAACCAGTCCACCTTGCACCAGAACTGCCACTTGCCACGTCTCGAGTTGGGACAGGGGCCCCTCCACCCACAGCTTGTTCGGGAAGGCGAACCCACACGAGGAGGCTCCTTCCCTCTTTCAGTCCCATCCAGTGCCCCTCCTTCATACGTTGAACAGCTGCATGTTGTCGCTCCACTTGTCCACGACGTCCAGCGCCTTGAGGAGTTCTGGACATTCAGGCTGCTTCTCAACCTTGTCCTTGGCCGTTTTGTAGTCGCCCATCTCGTGCAGCGATGTATGTTTCCCCATCCAATTCTTGTTTTGCCACCTTCAGCGCATCTTCGTAATTGGCGTCCATGGCCATGCACTTGTTGAGTAGGATGTCGTATTCTTTTGCGCAGCGAAGAGCCTCTGTCATTCTCTCTCCTGCTTTGCTAAAGGCAGTAAATCTACCTCCATTCATTTTGATATCCTCCAGCAGCGCCTGTGCCATCTCTTTTGACTTCTCCATGGCGATGTTGTTCCTTTGTGCGCGAGACGTTTTATTAGGGCCTCCTTCTTATGCCAGTTGTACTTGAGCAGTTTTAATCCGTCCTGGTGCCTGGGCTGCCCACACAGCTCCTTTTGCCTTCCTCTTTTGCCCTCGGCAGACCTGCCTTCTCGAGAGATACTATTATCCTCCATGCCGCGTTCTTTCTTCATCGCTCCAGTCTGCCCACTCCTCCTCCCTCAGTTCCAGCTCGCAATCGAAGGAGGAGGAGGAATAGGAGGAGGAGAAGGAGAAGGAGAGGGAGGAGGAGGAGGAGGAGAAGGAGAAGGAGGAGGAGGAGAAGGAGGAGGAGGAGGAGGGGGAGGGGGAGGGGCAAGCTAGGCGCGCTCGCGTCATATCTGACATCCTACCCCTCCCTCCCATCCCTTACCATGGCGCAGATCCCCTCTCTACTCGCTCAGTCGGATGTCGAGCAGGGCAATGATGGGTACGCGATGCATTGTAGAGCACGGCATGGCATGGCGTAGAAGAGCACCGCAAAGCGTAGTATCAACCTAGCATTGCAGTGCATGCCGTGGCATGGCACGGGAAATGACGCCAGCGCTGCAGCGGGAGCAGGAGTCGAAACGAGCGGAAGCGCGGAAATGAGGCCAGCGCTGCAGCGGGAGCACGATTCGGAACGAGCGGAAGCACGGAAATGAGGCCAGCGCTGCAGCGGGAGCACGATTCGGAACGAGCGGGGCCCGAAAATGAGGCCGGCGCCTCAGCGAGAGCAGCATTTTGAAAAAAATGCAGGCGAAAACCCAACTCCGGGGAAACTTGTGTGTAAAAAACAGTACGCGGGGGGGGGGGTCGGACACTCCCAGGCCGTCATCAGGGGAAGAGGGAGAGTAGTATTCATATCGAGTAATTGTAAAGTGGGAGGGCGAGGGAGAGGGGGAGGGGGAGGGGGAGGAGGAGGAGGAGGAGGAGGAGGAGGCGGAGGAGGAGAAGGAGGATGAGGAGGAGGAGGAGGAGGAGGAGGGGGAGGATCAGGATCTGAGGGTCGTCGATCTGAGGATCAGTCGGAGGCTCTGCGCTGTGACGCACGTCCCGAGGACCGCTGGGGCCTCCTCGCCGAGCCCCCTCCGCCGGGCGCGCAGGTCGACAGCGCCACGAGCAGCGGCCGCAGCGGCGACGACGAGTACCAGCGCACCGTCGGGGCCCTCTTCGCGGTGTTCTGGCTCATGCGCTTGCACCTGGACGGAGGCGCCCACTTCCCACCGAGCGCGTTCCACTGCTCGCAAATCGGTATCGTTCAACCGATCCCCATCACCATCTCTACCCCCTTCGAGACCCCCACCAAATTACCCCCCCAGTTGGGGATATACCTCTCGAAAACCGAAGGGAACGGAACCTGGAGGCCCTCTTGAGGGCCCCGTGGGCCGTCTTGGGCCAGCTTCGAGCCAACTTCGGCCATCTTGGTGGGTTCCTGGCACGTCTGACGCCAGTGGGAGCCGTCTTGGGGGCCTTTCTGGGCCGACTGGGGGCCCTCTTGGGGCGCTTCGGGGCCGTATTGGAGGCCATCTTGGGCGTCTTGGAGGCCACCTTGGGCGTGTTGGAGGCCTCTTGGGCAGTCTTGGGGCCCTCTTGGGGCCGTCTTGGGGGCCACTTGGGCCGTCATGGGACCCTCTTGGAGGCCTCTTGGGCGATCTTGGGGGCCTCTTGGGCCGTCTTGAGCCGTCGGAATGCCGAGAAGAAGCAACTTCCCAAATCCTTCAAACACCTATGGAAATACATTGATTTTGGCCTCTTCGGGCCCTCTTGGAGGACCTCTTGGAGGCCTCTTGGGCCGTCTTGGAGGCCTCTGGGGGGCCTCTTGGGCCGTCTTGGGCCGTCTTGGACTCTCTTGGGCCGTCTTGGAGGCCGTCTTGGACCATCTTGGGCGGACTTGGAGGCCATCTTGGGCCATCTTCGCGATGTTTTGAGGATGTCCCGAGCGAAACGGCCGTTTTTAGCGATGACGGAGGCACGACGGATGCGTTTTGGAGATTTTCCGGGTGGCCGGCGGGACGGGCCGAAGCCCCAGGGGGGTTTCTTTTGGAAAAAAAACCAAAACCAAAACCGAGAGGGTTCAGCACGCCAGGCGCCCCTGCGATGAATCGACAGGGGGCGGCGGATCGAATGGCCTTCGGCCCATCCCGCCACCGTGCCTGGGTTGTGGGTTTGAAGCCTATTGGATGTTCGTTGACATCTCGCGGGAGGCTTCTCGGGGGCCTCGTGGAGGCAGTTTGGAAGCCTCTGGGGGGCCGTTGTGGGACCTCTTGGGGCCTCTTTTGGGTCTCTTGGGGGCCTCTTGGAGCCTCTTGGGCGCCTCGTGGGGCCTCTTGGGGCTTCATGGGCGCCTCTTGGGGGCTCCTGCGGGCCTCTTGCGGCGGAAGGCTCGGATTTTCGGTTCGTGTTCCTTCTCTTCGGCCCCTTTTGGGACCGTCTTAAGGCCTTCTTGGGCCGTCTTCGGCGCCACTTGGGCCCTGTTGGGGCGCTTTGCACATTTTTGGGGCCCTCGTGGATGCATGTTTGGGTGTTTGGGAGTGGTCTTGGGCGAGGACGCAAAATCTTTCAGAAATCGGAGGACAATCAATGGTTCTTGCCTCTTGGGGCCCTCTTGGGATGCCTCTGGGAGACCTCTTGGGGCGTCTTGGGGCCCTCTTGGGATGCCTCTGCGGGCATCTCGGGCGTCTTGGAGCGGTATTTCGGCGGGTGCCTCGGGACCCTTTTGGCCTGTCTACAGCCGTCTTGGGCCCGAGAAAGTCGCGCGACAAGCCGCGGGGGAGCCTTCACGGCACGCTGGGAGTCCCGCCGCTTTTTGGGATGCGGGCCCCCGGTTCGTCAGGATTCAGTTCAGGACTGAGGCCCCAGGGATTGGGCGAAGGGCCTGAGGACACGCCCGCGCCGTATATTCAAAACTAGTCGAAAGATAGTCAGGGGACGATTTTTATTGTCTGTTAACTGTTTTTGAATATTTTGAATGTTTTCATTGCTCCTTCAAAATCCGCCTGTAGGGTGACATGCCCGACCTAATTTTAGAATGTGCAGCCGCCTCACGAATGGAGGGCGGTCCGTTGTCAAAGTGTGGCTCTCGCCTTAGCTTCCCGCACACTCGTTTCATAAAAAGCTGGCAAGAGCTCCGCGGACGGAGGCCGGCCCGTTCTCAAAATGTGGCTCTGGCCTCAGCACCGCGCACACTCGTCTCAACAGTTTGCAAGAGCTTCACGGATGGAGGGCGGCTCCTTTTCAAAATGTGTTTCTCGCTTTAGGGCGGCACACACTCGTGTTAAAAGTTAGCAAGAGTTTCACCGATTCGGGGCGGTTCCTTTTCAGAATGCGGTTGTCGCCCTAGGGCCGTGCACATTCGTCTTGAGAGCTTGCAGCAATTGCAAGGGTTCTCATGGTCAGCATCTCAGAACTGGTGCTTTGGCATGATGTCGGAATGTCACGTCGTAACAATCACGTTTGTTCGCGGTGTTGGAGTCCCAGGAATAGTGCTCTGGCACGGCTCAGGACCGTCAAGGCGCAGCAGTAACGGTGACGTGCAGCTTTGCAGTCTCGGGAATGGTGTCCTGGCACAGCTCCGGATTTTCAAACGATTGTCTTCCCAGGGGGCGCCGCCTTCAGTAGAAATTCGTGCGGGGGAAGCCAGAGAGTATCGACCTTCGGCAGGCGCCGTTGGCACGCACTCGACGGCACACCCTGGCCAGGCAGCAGCCAGAGGGCACCGACCTTCGGGATCAGATGGTGGCACAGTGGTTGCGGGGGTATCTACTGGGAAGAGTGGCGAGAGGCTATCTTCCATGACGAGGCTCAGCACCACTGGTCTTATTTCGCAACCAAATATCGCGCCCTGGGACGACGACCCGAGTGACGAGGGGTCACGGAGGCAGGACTCAGTTCGGCGTGAACTTCCTTCCTCTAAGCGAGCTCCGCGCAGGGGAAGGAGAAAACAATTCTATTTTGCTACCTTCAATGGTTCGGGATGGCCACAGATTCAAGACCTTCTTGAGAATGCAACTCATCTTGGAGTCGTATGTGTTCAAGAACACCACCTCAGTGGGCACTCACGTGTCACAGCAGAAGAGTGGTGTGTCAAACGTGGATGGAAGCCCTTCTTCACAGATGCCGTCCTGAGTGATGGCGGCAAGTTCAAGGCGGGCGTCGGCGTTATTGTGAAGGCTAACATTGGGGTTCCCTTGTTAGATGGATATATTGATAGCCATGTCCTTATCCCAGGGCATGGGGTCGCTGTTTACGTTCACGTGGGGCCGCGCCATGGCTTCATCGCGGTCCCACTGTACATGATTCAAGGAGAGCTTCTTGGAGGCAGCAATGCTGAGAAGATTAGACAGTTGGGTCAGTGCTTGTCCTACTACAAGGCTCCGTTCATCGTTGGGGCTGATTGGGACATGTTTTGGGACAAGATAGTGCAGGGCCGTCTTCATGAAAGACTTCGCGGCACCTTCATCGCCCTTCAGGACGGCACCTACAGGGACCCCAAGACGGGCAACACCACGATGATAGATTACTTCATGGCCTCCGACGGCTTGGGCGCAGTCATGGAGGATGTGCGGGCTTGTTGGGGGTTCCCCACCTCGCAATCACTTTCCTATACAAGTTGCAGTGGGCCCTCGACCGCGTGCACAGCAAGCTCGGCGACTACAAGGGCCATCGGTACTGCCTCCCATGCCAGCGGCCAAGGTCGCTGAGAAGGTGGAGGCCGAAGACGATGATGACGAGGTGCAGTTTGAAGTCCCCCGTGGTGAGCCTTCGTTCTCTTGGACCGAGCTCATGGGGGACGACGCTCACTTTGAATGTGGCACGGCTTCTGACCAGCGCTCGCGATTGGATGGGCTGTGCAAGGCGCTGTTCGATGGCGCTGAGGAGGAGTTACTCCCCCTCTTCCAGGTAGACAGTTCTGACAAGTATGTTGGAAGGTCGCAAGGAGGCCGATATACCTATTCGACGGCGGGGGGTGCCCTTGCTAGGTACAAACCCGCTGCCACTCAATATGCTCGAGCGTTGCGCACGTTGCAGTACAGGGTGCAGGACGTTCGTCTCACATGGCGCGCACGTGCGCAGGGGCATCCCAGGGCATGGCAGCACTTATATGACTTTGCCGGTGCGCGTGGCAAGGACGGTAAGCTCAGGCACGCACTTCCTCCGCACGTGCCCGAGGACGTTGTATTCATTGTCATGCAGGCGTGCACGCAGTCGCATTTCCACTGGGGCATGCTTAGCTTCGTGGGTACCTTCCTCGGTCGGCTAGCTGAGCAAGAGGAGTGACGGCTTTGACAAGCCCGCTCCAGATCCTTTGTGCTGTGGATGCGGCGCAACCTCTCTAAGACGCCTGGGCCCGTACACAAATGGACGAAACCTCATGGATGGAAATGAGCACAGGTCTCTGTTTGTACTGGACCTTCAAGCCTCCCTGGGGACATCGCTGACGCTCAGGAGGACTCTTGGAGGTCGATTCGGAATGGCACTGGTATCCCTGGAGATTTCGTGGGCGGAAGCCTCTATGGGAACACCGATGATGGGCTCCTGGGGGATCTCAGAGATCTGTTGGCATCTGGGCCGCGCCTGCCACCCTTGCCCATCAGCGAGCTGCGTTCGGCGGCGCTTCAGTTCCTGAGGAGGGCGGCAGTTGGAGCTGACCTCTTTCGCCCGAGACACTGGGCATATGTTTCTAACGCATGCCTGTCCGTCATGGGCTACTTCTTATATCTTGCCGAGACCTGGGGGCAGTGGCCGCAACTGTTGTCGAGGGTCTACACCATCCTCTTGATGAAACCCACGGGCGGGCATAGGCCCATTGGGCTGCTCGCGTCGATCTATCGGCTTTGGGCGAAATCAAGGGTTGACCACGTTCGGGAGTGGGCCAGTCGGCTCAATCGCTCGTTCCTGGCGCTAGGGACGGGCAAGTCGACAACATATGTGGCTGCCCGAGTGCCTGTGCAGGCGGAAGCTGCCGGTGCAGGGGCGCTGGAAGCGTCTACGCCTGTCACAGTCCAGAGCATCGTGGATATTGAAAAGTGTTTTGATAAGATTGGGTGGCGGCTGCTTATCGGCGCCGCTCGGATGCGTGGCTTCCCGCCGCAGTTGGGCGTGCTAGCCGCGCGTATGTACGCAGCGGGAAGGCGGCTCGCGTGGGAGGGGTGCTTCTCAGAGACAGTGTACGCGTCACAGGGAGTGTTATCAGGATGCGCGTTCGCCATGTTCTGCCTGCAGTGCGTCATGCTTACCCCTTTTCGATTCGTTCTACCGACGCACGTACATGATCGATAGGACGATAGAGCTATATATATACATACATATATATATATATATATATATATATGCTGATGATATTACCGTTGCGGCCATGGCCACGATGACGAACATAGTTTCGTCGTCATGCAAAGTGCTTCGATTGCTCGCCCGGCTGCTTCGAGACCTCGGACTGCCTCCTGCTAAACATAAGATGACTGTCACGTGCTCGCTGCCTAGCATCGGCCGCCGTGTTCGTGCTCGTCTTGGAAAGCTGGGCTACAGTACCAGAGTGCTCTGGAGGTTTTGGGGATCGAAGTGGCCTCGGGAAGGCTTATCAAATACAGTCTTCTGCGCAAAAGGATCTCAATCGCTGCTTCCAGGACTCCGAGACTGAAGCAAGTCAGGCGCGTCGGCCCACTCGCGTGCAAGTTTGTCAGGCAAGCTTTACCCTCGGCCATGGGATATGGCTTGGGAGTGCATGGAGCGCCGCCGCAGTTGGTGGCCAAGATGCGATCAGTGCTTCGTTCCGCCTGGTGCACTCCAGGCGCCTGTGCAACTAGCTCAGCCTGGATTACCAGTTGCCTGCAGGGCAGTATTTATTCCGACCCGCAGATTCAGGCGTGGGTTATGCCAATTTACCAGTGGGCTCTTCTCACCCGAGATACGGTTATTTCCCACGCCGTCCTTCAGAGAGCTTGGCAAGTCCAGATTCAGAAAGTTTATCGTGCTGGGCGGCCCTGGGCCATGGTGCCAAGGACAATTGGGGCAATGTTGATGTCTGTCAAAGCTCTCGGATGGACTACTTCGTCTGCCTTTTGTTTCAAGACTGATTGTGGACAGGTGCTCGACTTCCGCTTTTCCGCCCCCTCCACGGTCAAAGAGCTTGGCTACGCCTCGTCCATCCGACGAATGTGGGGAAGATGGGCCCAGAGGCCCAACCCTGCCGATGATCTTGCCACGGCCCCCAAAGAGCCCCTGGGGCACTGGATTGAGCCCATCATCGACCTTCTCAGGAGATATCAGGAGGAGGAGTCTGACGAGGAGGACGTGGGGGTGGCCGACCAGGACATAGGGGTACGTATAGCTTCTGAGACTAGACGTGGTTTCATGGAGGGCCCAAGCGGCCTAGATGGTGATACCCCTCCAGAGCCTGACGAGCCAGAAGGTGAATCCCATCGTCGTGAACCTCCCTGGGCCCGTTCGTTTAAAGAGTCTGCACTACTCCGCGCATTGGTTGGTGGAGGCATGTGGTCTCCTGCGAGACTGAAGTTTTGCAACTACTTGGAATGTGCGAAGTGTCACGGCTGCCCGTCTCACGAGTGCAACTCGCATCATATTTTGTGGGACTGTCCTGGTACCGCTGACGCTCGCTCTGCAGCGGTATTTTCCCTCGGCGCTAGAGGGCTGCCGCCGAGAGAAGTTGGCTCGTGGTTCTGGGGCAGAGGACTATGCCCGAGGAGCTGTTTTCCACCGCTACCCAGGAAAGACGACTCAGGCTCATGGAGAGTGCGCTACGGGCAGGTGGCCATGATTTCAGGAGCCGTCTACACCGATGGGGCATGCAAGCGCTTTTGGTATTGGCCAGAGGCGGCCCGAGCGGGGCGGGGGTTTGCCAGGCTTGAGAACGGGAGGATTGATGTATTTACCTACGGGGCACTTCCTGGGCCAGTGCAGACCTCCGCAAGATCTGAGCTGTATGCGTTCCTGCAGGTCTTGCAAATAGCCGTTCTACCTCTCACCGTGTATAGTGATTACAAGGGTCTCATCAAGGGCCTGGCTTTGGACCCCTTTGGTGTTGTCACCCCAGGCGCCCCAATATGGACCTCTGGGAGCTCATTTGGGATAAGGTTAGGGACTTGGGAGGTCTTGGAGAGACTCTGATTGCAAGGCATGTCAGGGCCCACCAGCGTGGGAAGGACGTGCATGTGAAGGGGAACCGATGGGCTGACGTGGCTGCGACCCTTGGGAGAGATCTCCATTCGGTTCCCCCTCGCCACGCCAAGGCGATGAGAATAGCCTTGCATTCGGTCCGTCAGGTTTTAAAGTGGCAGGTAAAATCGTACATGAGCTTTGCCGCCCAAGAGCGGATCGACTCGGTCGAACGTAGGCGTCGCAAGGCGTCCGGAGATCGCGCCCCCCTCCCCCCCCCCCTCTCCTCCTGAGCCCCCCCCCCCCCGCCTCTCACCTCGGGCATGTGTCTGCCCAAGTCCCAGGCCGACTCATTTGGAGGTGTAGTTTTTGCATGAGGGGTGCGACAACTTTGAGGACCAGGGAACGCCTCAGTCGAGGCTCACGTTTTGCTCGGATCGTCGCTGCCAGAGGGGACGAGGATGGCGCGGATGTCTCGGTTGGCTCTAAGGGTGAGGACCTCCCTGGAGAACCCGGCCGCACTGCCCAGCCTCGTGTGACTTTTGCGCCAATGCAGAGAGTTCGCACACCTGATGAGGAAGCTTTGCAGCAGGCTGTCGCCACTGTTCAAGGCCCCCCGCCAAAGAGAGCCAGGATTGTCGGCCGAATCCCGCTTTCTCTTGTGCGTCCCCCCGCGGCTCCGCTGCCGAAGTCGGGAATTGTCGGTCCTCATGCCTGCAGAGGGCACAGGTGCTGGGTCTCGCCAGGCCATGCCGTCCTCTGTATCAAATGCGGGTTTTTCACTGGCAGTGCTGTGGCCAGTCACTTGTTGCTTGAATGCGAGCTCCCTCAGGTGATGTCAGAACGGGCTGCCAGGAATCGCAAGCTGTTTCTGGAAGGTCGTCATCCCGCCGATGAAGGGCGGGCTGATGGCCGATTTATCCCCACTCCCCGCCCACTTGCTGCTACGGACCCCGAGGTGACGTGGCTGCGGCCGGGGGGGGGGATGGTGATCTCCACTCTCCAGGGCTCACTATCTGTCCTGGCAATTTGTTTTGTTCCTCGTCGGCGGGGGCGGGGGTGGCGGGGGCCCGCGCCTGCGCGCGCGCCCGTATGCCGACCTCCGCAAGTACCAGGACCCGTGCTGTCGCTGCCGCCGCCGAGTCTCGTTTTTCGTTCCTCGTCGTCTCGCCGAGATCCCTCGGGTGGGCGGGCGGCGGTGTAGTGGAATGCATGTGGGGGGCCGAGCTGGCCGCCCTCCTCTTCTCTGGCCGTTAGCGCAGGCGCGACAGTTTCCTATGAGCGTCGTATCCCCCTCCTCCCCCTCATCCTCCTTTTCCTCCTCCGCCTCCTCTTCCTCCTCCTCCTCCTCCTCCTCATGCTCATCGTCTCCGGTCGGCCTGTCGTGCGGCCACAGAGAGGCGAAACCGATATGTGGAGAAGGCGTGAAGGCACCAGGGTGAAGAACAGAGCATATATGAAGCATCACGCCCCGAGTGTGGATGGGCAAAGGCCTCTGGCGCAAGCATGCGCAGACCAATTCAGGCATGCGCAGTCCTCATCGTCGTCGTCCTCCTCCTCCTCCTCGTTTACCTGGCCTCCTCCTCCTCCTCTTCTTTCTCCTCCGCTTCGTCCTTCTCTTCGTCCTCCTCTTGGCGTTCTTCATCCCAGGGTCCATCCCCATCCGACCGATTCGGTATTGGTCGTGGCCAGCCCGAATCGGTTGTGATACTCCGACTATCTGATGCGGCCGGTTGCTTGCTTGGCGTTTGTGTGTAAGCAAGCTCCCTATGGGACCACGAACAGGGCGAAGGGTGTGCCAAATTGAGTGGGTGGGGGCGCAGCCATCGAGGCCTTCGGTGGAGCCTCCTATGAGGCCGCGGAGCTTGTGAGGAGTGTGCCAAAAGGAGGGGGTGGCGGCATTCGGGCGCGACCCTCGGGGCCGAGCCGCGGAGGAATGCGTAATAGTGATAGCACGCAAGCTCCCACCAGTGAGCCCAGGCCAAGCTGTCTTTCGGATGCAACTCCTGGGAGGTCAAGTTCTGACTTTGCCCTGGGCCGAAATCCGGATTAATCCGGCCAGGTCCCGTTCAGTTCGGCTGAATCCCGTTTACTCCGGTGTGATCTCGCTTTGTCCGCGGCCTCATTTGGCGTAGCGGCCCGACAATGGCGCTTTATCCTCCTTC